GGCCGGCCCGCCGTTGGGGTCGCCCCGCCGTTGGGGCGGCCGCGGCTCCGGCCCTGCGTTGTGAGGCGGCCCCGCGGTCTCGCAGCGGAGCTGGGGCCTGGGCGCCGTCCCGGCAGCGGCGGCCGYGCAGCCCCGTGTGTGTCCCGGCCCACGCGGGCTGTCCCGTGGGGCCCTGGCGCGGTGCAGCACTGCCCAGGYACCCATGGGTGCCCACCCACGTGCAGCGATGGCCTTGCTGTGACAGGCATGCRCTGCACAGTGGTGCGGCCAGCACTTCCCATCCCATGTGTCCCAATTCCCSCTTCTGGAAGCGGAGCCCTTGGTGCAGGTGTTCTCCACGCCACGACCCGCAGGGCACTCGCTCGCAGATGACCTGCCTGGGCTGCCGCTCTCCTCAAGCGTGACCTTTGGAAAGACCCACCCGCGTTAGGGGTGTAATGCAAACTGGAATTGGCCCCGGGAGCCACGGTCGGGTGGCCCGGCTCTCGTGTGGCCAAGGAGAAAGACCCAGTTCAGCAAAGCACGTGCTTGATTCTGTGCTACCTGGCAGGAGTGTTCACCTGGTTAACACCAGTACTGGGTTACGGGGTGGCAACAGGAGGCGGTTTGCAAAATGGGAATTTTGAAGGAGATAGTCCACAGCAAAATCTCTTAGTTACAGATAATTCCAGTAACTCCACTCTGGCTTAATCTGTTACTACCTTTCAAAATTTCAGAGTGCAGATTAAAAGAGTAGTAGATAACCCTTTTATTTTTCTCTCTTTCCCTGCACACACACAGACATATGTGCATGCACATCCTATATGAAGCTTTCAGTCACRCAGAATATATGATCTAATTTTAAACCACTAACAAGATATATCTAYTTCTTAAAGCATTCTCTTATTTTAGAATTATTTGAAACCATACTTAAAGGAAGAGTCCTTTTAATATAGCTAAATCTAAATTAAATCTGTAGTTYATTCCAGTAATGTAACACACTTCATCTTTGCTATGATTCACCTTTAATAATTATTTTCACGCAGGTTGTTGATAAGGGAGAAAATTAGAATTAWTTTTGTTTTTTTAAGCAATGAAGGATCATGTTCAATGCTTAAGAATAATTCATTTAATAATGAGCACTTGTCCAAGTGAATATCCTGTAGGATTATTTATAAGCTACATGTACTGAGCAACTCAGAAACAGGTGTTTGCTCTTTAGCACAGCCCAGGGAGTCAGTGCTCCAAGACCTGCACTGAACAAATACCCAAGGATATTYACTACAGATAAGTGAAGTTCACTACAGATAAGTGAGACACAGGGTTTTTGAAAGGGGCAGCACCCAAGACTGAGTTAAGCCTGTATGGGATAAGTAGCATGGTGAGATATCAATGGCARTATAAATAAACCAAGTTTTTATCTTTTAAAAGTACCTGTGCTGATTTCCTTTCCTGTTACAGATGGTTGTAAAGGCAAGGTCAGCTGCCTGGTGGGCATTTGCTTCCCCAATGCAGCCTGGCTAATATCCGTGTGATTTGTGCCAGACTTTCTAAATGACCTGCTTCACACCATTTTTTTTAACTAAAAATTCCTTCGTGTATTTGCACAGAAAGTGCATCCAGTTTCCTGATCTCTCCCAAACACCCTTYCCGGGCAGTACCAACTACTCTCCTGCCTCTTTTTCCCTATACCCAGACAGCTTCAGCATGGGGTGCTCTTCCCCACCGCGTATACAGGGACAGGGAAGGCAGCTGGATATTAGGAGCGCCGAATCACCAGGGTACATGGAGCTGATGCTGGTAGTGAGCACCACGCTGCGAGAGGTCAGGGTGCCACAAGTGGAGGACGTGGGGCTGGGCAAATAGCAAAGTGCCTTGCAGAACATTTGTGTAAACATAACAGTCGACATCAACCCACTGGTCCGGCCTYGGGAGTTCTGTTGCTTCCATTCATAAATGAATCACAAGGACCACCTTTTCCTTTTTTTCAGAAAAAAAATAGATCAAAATGCACAGTAAAAGGTTCTTACTTGGAAGCTAATAAGAGTGGCAAGAGCCTATCTGCCAACTGCTGTTCACTTAGAAGGAAAAGTTCAGACCTATCAGTGTAAGAGAGCCTTTTGGGATCTAATTGTTCTTGTGGATATTGAGAAAAATTCATTACAGTCTCAATAAAAAAATTTGCAAATCTGAACTAGGCCAAGTATCTTTACACATCAAATTAGAAATAAATTATGTACATTGCCTGTGAAATTGCAGAAGATCAAAAACTCCTTTAAAAGTTCATTTCACTTTTTTTTTTTTTTCATAAAAATGCTGTGATAGAAGAAACCTCGAGGAGACTACCTCATGCAGCACTCCTGCATAGGGGCAGGATCACATATGTCAATACTTAGTATCTACCTTTCTTTCGAAGAACCTCTGGTCTAGTGGACTCCATGACTGCCCCAGTTACCTTGTGCCTGGCTTTCAGCGTGAGTTGACATCAGTAASAGGATGAAGGGGTTCCCATAGCATGGTCTAAATCCTCTTTACTTGCTTTGCTTTTCTGCTTTCTTCTTACAACACGGGCACCCGAGCTTGTGTCTATCTGCAAAAGACCGCTTTGACTTGCTTCTTTTTCTGATTTTCCTAGCCCAAATACATCAAATTTCCCAGCAGGCTCTTTTTTCTCAAACTGTCTTTGGTCCTGCAGTTCTCTCCTTGACTTTCTTGTCTCCTTGATTTTGTTAGGGACACCAGGTAAAGCCTTCTGCTCTAGGATAGTTTCTGGAAGCTACATAAAATTCTCCACTAACATACACTGAGATCTGCCTGCATTTTCACCTTCACTGTGGTATTGATCAGTACTTGAGTGTATAATCCACTRTAATCCTCATAACCTTTTAAAGCATATTGCTTTCTAGTTATCCATTATCTATTTTTATTTGAGGATTTGGGCCTTCCCTCTCCTGGGAATACTCTCTTACTGATTTTGGGCTGTTTCTCTCATTTTTCAGGATTATCTTTAATTCCAGTCCTGCTCTTGAAAATGCTTTTAAATATCTCCTTGTCTGCCAAGGTGATTTGCTGTTTTTTATGAACACACCCTTTATTTCATTATGCAAATTGTTAATTTATGTATTTAATAGAATGTAGCTGAGATCAAAAACTGARGCAGGAACCTACTTGAAACATCCTGGTAGTTTGATAGTGTGTTCCTGATACTTGCTTTTTGAGAAAGACTTTCAAGACAGTTGCTTACCCACCATTACAGACCTACACAATACTTCCTTAGTTTGAATATGAAAGCCTCAAGGTAAATATACAAGAAAAGTTACCAATGTGGACATCTAATACAACTGCTTCATCCATACCTATGATGACAGTTATGAGTCAAAGAAAGAAGAGAGTTTAGTTAATTTAGTACAGTGGACTTYTCTTGAATATCCCCAATAGAATTTTTAATCTTTTTTTTTCCCAGCTGATTACTAAAAGGTAGGTTAATAATTTGGGGGGAATTAATTTTTTTTAAAATTAAATATTTTTCCCCTAGATCTTTCCAGATATCCTTATTTCATGAACTCCACTTTCTTATAATCTATCTTTTTTTCCAAAAATATTTTTTTCATCTTCAGAATCTTACTCATAAATACATAAACACACAACCCCTAAAAGGAAAGGGGTAGTATACTTTCAAATTATTACGTCTTGTCTCCGACTGAAATGTTTTTCCAAATTAGGAGAAGCTGCTTGTCAGATGACATATTGATAACTTTGACACCCAATTGCTTGTGGATAACTTGCCTCTGATAGCTAATATGCAAATACAGAATCTGCATTTCAAATAAACATAATTCCAAAGCTTTGTAAGCTTTTCCACAGTTGGGAAAAATTTAGGGGATGCTGAAGTTAAGGTTGCAATCATAATCCATTATGTCTAGACTTCACAGAAATTATTTGAGTGCTGGGAAACATTACTCACATGTACAGAGAGATTTTTATGTCCTCATATTCTGTTGCAGAGATACACAGTGTAATGCACTTACACTAA